ATCGATGGTGAATAAAACAAACATGAAGGGATGCGATTATTTTACATAACAACCCTTAAAATATATTCAATTTAATTAATCTTTTATTTTAAAGTATGATATGACATATAATTAACACTGTCAAAAAAAAAGGTGGTTGTAAAATTGATATTATTTAGATGTAATAATACTATGATAATAATTTGCTTTTAAATGGAAAGACTTTTCTTCGTCAAATAGTAAGAAAAAGGGAAAGGAACGTGTTAGAAGAAAATTGAAAAGTGGAGCACCCATATGTTTGAAATGGAATAGAAATTTCTTCATATAGAAGAAATTTATGGGTATGTAATTGAGCCACGTTGCTACAAAATGAGCTGCAACCATGGAAAGAAACACGTGGATGCACTAAGACATATCGGTCAGAATGTGTATGTAAGGATGTCTATCATAAACATAGATTTAGGTGGTCATATGTTTTTTTTTTTTTTTTTTTTCATAATTTTTTATCAATCTTAGCGATATTCCAAATTCAAATTAGATTCGTGGTATAAATTTAAATAGTTTAATGTTGACTTTAATTACAAGATTGTGTGATATACAGTAAAACCTCTCTATAACGATACTCTATATAGGAATAAACTCTATATAGTCATAAAAAATTATATTCCCAATTTGGGATAGTTATAAATAAGAATAAACTCTACATTGTAATAAGTTATAATTTTTATAATTCCTGTCTTAAGGAAAGTTACCTCCACATAGTAATAATTATCTGTGTATTGCAAAAAAAAAAATATGGTATGTTACATTAAAGATTTAAAATGAAATAAAATATTTATCTAAAGTTGCTTGAGACAATAATTTATGCTTTAGTGTTGTTACCACATCTTTTAACTTGCGAATACATTACTCGCTAACATAGACATTTTCTTGTTAAAACCAAAACATTTTTAACTTCTCAAGCATGTTTAGAACTTCTTGACATGAAACTTTTTATATTTTCATACTATCATCCTTATAATTATTTCATTTCTCTTCTTCTTTCATTGTAGAAATGATTTCTTCTTTTATTAAAACATACATGACTTGTTACTCATTTAAATGATTAAAGAAGACATTAATATTCATTTAATTAGTGTAGTGAAGTTGTCGAATTTGATCACTCAATTTTACAATAACTCTTTGATTTTCTTCGTCCACTTCATTTGTAACTTGCAATTCATCAACATTAGGGGTCGTAATTTTGTAATGCTTTAAACAATTAGCAATTGTTTGTGGTTTCACATTAATTGTCATGCAGCAACTGCATTTACAATTTCATCAAGGACAGTTATCTTTGTTGGTTTCAAAACGGGATCTTCTATCCGTTTCAAAAGTAGGCAATTGAAGCGCTGAATTGAAACCCTAATATTATTAAAACATGAATTGAAATCATAATATTGTACTACTAAAACATGAATTATAAAATAAGAAATTTTTTTTAATTACACCTCTATTAAGTTATAATCTCTTCATAGTAATAAAATTAGTTGGTCCCACTATTATGACTATAAAGAGATTTTACTGTATATGAAATTTAAACATAATTCCTTACTTTAAAATCGAAACACGAGATAAATTCATTGGTCTAGTCTTTCGAGTTCAGGTCTCCACGATTGTTAATAAAAATGTCTATTGAAGTTTTTACCCAATTAATAGTTTTTGGGTTCTGAAAAATTAGTTGAAGTACACGTAAACTGGCCCGGACACTCTCGATCATAATAAAAATAAAAATAAATAAATAACTTACCTGTAAAACAATGTATTTAAATTTATACTTCACTCAGCGTTAATTTTTTATCGTTCAAATTCATATACTATATACTTTGTTTTGTTAAAATGTATCCTAAAAATTATATCTTACTGTATTAAACATAAATTTAAATATATATTTTTTGGAAGAATAAGATTCAATTAAATTAAACAGAATTCATGATATCTTTTCTGTAAATAGCTAAATTACCTTATTTATCACAATAATTAATCCCAATTGTTTCAAGACATTTGCTTATAATTAACCCACAAAAGTTTACCAAATTCCATTAATAAATAATAATTGACACACTCTTCCCTTGAAGGCTTATCTCTATCCACTGTTATTATCTTCAGCAACGCCAAAGAGGACATTTCTCTTTGATATTTCACACCAACATTTATCCTTCCATTTCACACCCTCTCTGCATTCCAATTTGAAGCTATATCAATGCCACTACTTATTGCTTAATTGATTTGAGTCCCTTAAATCTCTCAGAACTTCAACCGTCCGTCCCTTCAGGTAACTTCAATTCTATGCTCTTTTGATTTATCTTATCCAAATACCATTAATTCAAACCATTGTTTTACATAGAGATTTAAGGAGACAGTTTTTCAGTTTTTGAAAAATGTGATATATATCACCTAGTCTAAAGGGTTTTTGTTTTTGTTTTTGGTTTTTTCCTTTCTTTTCTTTCTTGTGACTTGATGACCCTCTAAGGGGGTTAATGAAGTTTGAATTTGTTTTGAAGGTGTGAGCAAAATGTCGAAGAAGATGAGAGTGGCGGTGGTTGGCGGCGGGATTAGTGGACTTGTTTCGGCGTTTGTTCTTGCAAAAGCAGGCGTTGATGTGGTGCTTTACGAGAAGGAAGACTACCTTGGCGGCCATGCGAAGACTGTCACTTTCGATGCCATTGATTTAGACCTCGGTTTCATGGTCTTCAATCGCGTAAGTTTAACTGTCTCTCTCTTTTTTCTTTCTGCATTCAGCTTTCTTTCTGCTTCACAGAAATTGGAACGAATTAAATTATCATAGTATTAATATTTATGGCTTTCCATCTATGGTAGTAAAATATCTAGTGCAATGAATTAGAAAGATTCAATAATATATAAAAGATGAATAAATTATAAATTTTGGTTCGAATTTATCTTATTAAATCTCATTACACTTGATATTGGGAAAAAAATAAGACAAAATAAAAAGTGTTACAAGCACCATTGATAAGGTAATTTTCTTAATTAAAATCAAAATTTTACAAGGAAATAAAGTCAAAGATAGGGATGGAAGAAAGATACTATTAACC